CTGAATACACAGACCATTGGGGAATAGAAATCAGTAACATCTCCACAGGCAAAACTTTCGCTGTGATCAATGGAGATAAAAGTATTGAGTACTGGATGCTTTATTCTCCTTGTCGATCTTCCCCTCTAAACAGTGATAGTTATAATAAAAATCCCAGCATCTTTGATGAGAGAAACAATGAGATGCGATTCAGTTAAGAGAATATTCCCAGATCAAAAAACCAATTAAGATATGACTATTATGTGATCATGGTTATGCTTATTTCCCAAGCTTTCTGTTTAATTGCACAATGTTGAAAAGAAAGTCTTACAATATTGTAGGTACTTAAGAGCTAATAAGAGATAGGACATCTACAAGAAGTCTACAGATACCAGTAATCAGGGAGAAACAGAAAAAATGGAGCCATGTGTTTGATGCTGGTTGAAGCAGTATGTAAGGTAGGGAAAAATTACTAAGAAAATATTGTAAAGTAACAATGTGAAATTAACATCCAAAGCAAAATTTGAGGAATTTGACTTAAATTCAGACTCACTGGATTATCTTTCATCTCTGAATTGTGAAAGTATCTGAAAATTAATGTCTACTTAAATGTATTTTCAACAAGTCATCCAGAGCAGAGTTAGTACCTGCTAACTGAAGTAATAGAATGGAATATAGGTAAGAGGCATTAGAGTAGCCCTTGCAATTGCAGGACAGATAGCTGATCTCAGTCACACCAATTTTTTAGGATTTTTTTAGAAAAATACATTATACTTTTCCCTATAGGAAATTTTCCTATAGATTATTACCAAGAAAGACAATAAAAAAGTGAATTAATCCTAAATTATCTAATAACAATAGGACCCTGAGCACTAAGAAGGAAGACTGCTACATATCTTTGGATATAAGGGTTTCAAAAGTTTCAGTTAGCTATAGCTATAGAGTGTACTGGATATGCAGCACTGGTTGCAGAGTTGTTCTGAAGTCATTTTGGGGCTTTGTGACTGTGGATTAGGAAGCTTGGCCAAAGAGTGGAAGGAATTCCTGACTGAGGTGTTCAGGCTCATCCACAACCAGAGCTTTAAAACAATTACTTGACTTCGAACTTTTATTTGTCTGGACTGGACCTTTGTGAAATATTTTTTTATTGTTGATCTTGTGAACTGTTCCCTGCTGAGATATAAACACAGTCAAACTCTAAAATGATAGTTCCAAAATCTGATCGTTTCAAAACTCTGATTTTGGGATTTTTCTGAATAGCACAGAGCTATTTTTTAACAAAAACTAAGTGGTCCAAATCACTAGCTGAAAACTTTTATCAGTTACTTATGAACAGCTTTTTCTGGAATGCCTTTAGCTATATTTTACTGTCTGTCTTAATTGAAATAGAGGAATGAAGATGTTTGTTTTACTTTCGGTGTGGAAATATCAGATTATAGATTTATTTTGGTTCAAAGACAATGGAGTATATTAAAACTTTTCATGCCAGAAGAAATAAAAAATGTGGAAGGTATTTAGACTAGAGGAACACATGATTAATCCCACTGAAGTGTTGGTGCTTTGCATTTTTTAAAATTCTGTGAAGTGTTTAGTTGTCCAAATATTTACTAAGAAATCTGTTTGGAAATCTAAGGCTTGTTAACCATGGTCTTCATTTCTAGGGATCAATTAACTTATCTATATGTTATTCTTTAGTCATTTGAATTACCTGAGGATAGCCTACTCGACCTCCAGCAATCATGCACATTTCTCCAGTGTAGTCTTTGTCATATTTGCCAGCCTGTAGGGAATGTCACAACTCCCTTGATGTCACAAATACTATTTGATTACTGTCTGTGGGCAGTTGAACCAAGTTCCATCTTTGAAAGTAAAGATAACATCCTTGCAGGTACCTACATGTAAATTCTTATATTTGCATTTATATTAATGTAAATGTATTTTGTTCACATGTTTGAATTCTTTTTATTGCTGTTCTGCAGCTCTTATTCTCTGCTGAATTAAAAAAAAAAAAACCCTATGGCTGGGGCTGGTGAACCAAGTTGCTCTTCAGGCTCAGCTCCCTACCCTGAGCATAAAAGGGATTTAGACACTGTAGACACCTACAGATTAACACTTACATAGATTCATAGAGTCATTTTGGTTGGAAAAGACCTTTAAGATCATTGAGTCCAATCATTAACCTAACACTGCCAGGTCATCACTAAACCACGTTCTTAAATGCCACACCCACACATCTTTTAAATGCCTCCAGGGGTGGTGACTCCGCCACTTCCCTGGGCAGCCTGTTCCAATACTTAACAAATGTTTTAGGGAAGAAATTTTTTGTAATATCCAACATAAACCTACTCTGGTGCTACTTGAGGTCATTTCCTATTGTCCTATTGCTTGCTACATAGGAGAACAGACCAACCCCCACCTCAATACAACCTCCTTTCAAGTAGTTGTAGAGAGTGATAAGGTCTCCCCCAAGTCCATTTTTCTCCAAGCTAAACAACACCAGTTCCTCCAGTTGCACCTCATATTTGCTTTCTAGACCTTTCATTAGCTTTGTTGCCCTTCTTTGTCTTTCTTGTAGTGAGAGACCCAAAAATGAACACAGTGTTCCAGGTGCTGCCACACCAGTGCTGAACACAGGGGGACAATCACTTCCCTAGTCCTGCTGGCCACACTATTTCTGATATAAGCCAGGATGCCACTGGCCTTCTTGTCCACCTGCGCACACTGCTGGCTCATGTTCAGCCAGCTGTCCACCAGCACCACCAGGTCCTTTTCTGCCAGGCAGCTTTCCAGCCACTCGTCCCCAAGCCTGTAGCTCAGCATGGAGTTGCTGTGACCCATGTGTAGGACCTGGCACTTGGCCTTGTTGAACCTCATACCACTGACCTTGGGCCATCAATCCAGCCTGTCCAGGTCCCTTTGTAGAGCCTTCCTACCCTCAAGCATATGTACACTCCTGCCCAGCTTCATATCATCCACAAAGATTCTGAGGGTGCACTCGATCCCTTCATCCAGATCGTTGGTAAATATACTGCAGAGAACTGGCCCCAGTGCTGAGCCCTGGGAAACACCACTGGTTACTGGCAACCAACTGGACTTAACTCCATTCACCACTACTCTTTGGGCCTGGCCATCCAGCCAGTTCTTCACTCAGCAAACAGTGTGCTCGTCCAAGCCATGAGCAGCCAGTTTCTTCAGGGGAATGCTGTGGGAAACGGCATCAAAGGCTTTCCTGAACAACAATAGTCTTTCCCGTATCCACTAAGCAGCTTACCTTGTTATAGAAGGTGATCAGGTTCATCAGGCAGGACCTGTCTTTCATAAACCTGTGCTGACTGAGTCTGAACCTGTTGTTGTCCTGGATGCCCCCTGACAGTACACAAGATGATCTGTTCCCTAACCTTCCTCAGCGCCGAGGCCAGGCACACACCTGTAGTTTCCTGGTACATGTACTATGTGTAGGTGTCCTAATCTTGATTTGGTGACCTACCTGTTGATATCTGATAATTATATACAAGCGTCTTTGGGTTGGAGCCACAGAGAAAATAAGTGTGGTTTCTTTTAACATCTCTCATAGAGGAGTATTTCTGTCAGGCAGTACTAAAATATTCTATGGCTTCAGTGACTTATTTAGTGGTGGTATGGTGGTTCCTTATTCGTCAGCATCTATGCCATGAAACATAATGGCAAATGCACATTTAAGTAGCTCTGAATTCATGGAGTGCTCAGGACAGTAAAAGCTTCCAAATGAATAATGGCTTCACACAGACAGCTTTTGCATCCTAAATTGCTCAGTGGTTGGACTTCAAAATAGGCTGAATTTCTATTAGTTAAACTCTAGGCACTGTAGAAAAGGCAACAGACTGCAAAAGGATTCATATAAGAAACAAATGCAGCATGGTAATAGCAGGAAAGAACAATCAGAACTGTTTCCTCATGGGAAACATTATAAAGGGAGGAAGGAAAAAAGTTTCTTGCCTGCAGATAGTAACAACATTTTTTGTTAAACCACACTTTTGCCATTTTTAATTTAAACTATTTTCAGAAGTTTTCTGTGACTTCCCCACAGAACTAAATACTCATAATATATTCTGATGAAGAAAATTAATGTACAGTACCTGGCAGTATAATTTTCTTACCTGCCGAGTAGGTATGTTAATGTTAGTGTGGGCAAGACTTTTCCTAAGTATAAACAAGGTCCTTGAAACCAAGATAGTACTTTTTAAAAATCCATGTTTAAAAGTATAATGCAATATTCTTTTCTGCAATTCACTGCACTTTGATGTCTACTATAAGTATAAAATGTTGATGCTGGACATGAATGTCCCATTGATAGTTTTGTATGTGGAATAGGCTGGATACAAAATCAAAGACAGACTACAGTTTTCCATGTGTACTTTTTCCATTTGTACTTTAGCATACAGAGCTTATGCAGTACTTTTTTTTTAGTTTCCTTCTTTCTTTTTTTCAAGAAAAAAAGAATTAGAAGCTTCTGAATCTATTCAGAATTAAAGAATTATACCAAATAGAATATTAAAATGCTTCAGAGCAGTTGTGAGATTACTTCCCACTATACTGTGATGCACGATAAAAACACGGAGAAACTATAATAGATGTATTTCATATTTCTTGTTTGGCTGGATTACCAATTATAAATTAGGACTCTCACTTCAGCCTCACAGATGGCAAGCAGTTAGGCAACAAACCTGCTTACGTGATTTATAAATCTATAGAGACAAATCGGCATGTCGCTTATGGCAATCTTGGCGGTATACTCTGTAATCAAAGATTTAAAATACCCATTACCAGAAAGAAAATAACTTCATTTCTAGTCAGGTGAGCAAAGCACCAAGTAGTGTGTGAATTTGGTAATAATATTAAAATAATCTATGTTTACTCACTATATGAAATTTGTATGATTTTGAGAGTTCTTTTTTTTTTCTTTTTCCTCTTCCCTTGTTTTTATTTCTACAGATATGAGCTCTTGTTTTATTAACATTTTTTTTTTTTTTGGACTTTCTTAGGTTATATTCAGTTGGAGGTCGGGATGGAAGTTCGTGTTTGAGTTCCATGGAATATTACGACCCTCACACAAATAAATGGAATATGTGTGCTCCTATGTGTAAGAGAAGAGGAGGTGTAGGAGTGGCTACCTGTGATGGCTTTCTTTATGCAGTTGGAGGCCATGATGCTCCTGCTTCTAACCATTGTTCCAGACTTCTGGACTATGTAGAAAGGTATCCAATCATATATGATTTTTTTGAATACAAAATAATGCCCTAAAAAGTAGTATAATTTTCTTAGCTAAGTGATGGTATAATTAAACAGAACTTTTTACCCCAAGAAGTGCAAAACTATTATTTACTTGAAGGATGCCACAGAGGTTTATAGAAGACAATTTCTTTGAAGGTTATTTTCCTACCCTTTATTTTCAGAGTACTATTATATATTATCATGGACAGAAAAATCCACTCTTTTCACATCCCATCTAAGAAAGCTTTGTTTTTAAGGTATATTACACATTGTAGAACCATAAACTAAGTTTTGCAAAGACAAAAATTCAACCTTTAAATAATTTTGTAACACCAAATTGTGTTTAGAAGTATTTTGTAACAATAAAAACATAGATTGAGCAAAGAAGAAATATAGAACTTACAGTGATGGATGTTTACATTACACAACATTGTTTCCCTTGTCATTTGCTGATTTCTTGATATAAGCTTTACACAATTCATTTACATTACCAAGAATTTTACATATGTATATTTTGCAAATTCAAGAATATCTACTAGGGCAGTAGGGGACAGCTGGAGTGATTATAGCATCCAGTTTGAAGATACTCTTCAAACGTTTCATGAAGATTTGACTTTTTTTTCTGTATCCTTTAAAATAGGATAAGGAAAATACACTCTCCAAATATAGACAGGTTGCGCAGGTTAAAGTAGATATGTTTGAGTAGTTGGTTTATCTTCACATGTAACTACAGAGAGCTGCTGAGTGAGATTTATTTTTCTGAAGGGGTTTAACTTTAATTAAATGTCAGTTATTACTTCTGCTGAATCTGACTTGGCATTTACCAGTTACCCAATGTGCAATCCAAAAATTATAAATGAAGACTTACTCCTTATGTTATCCATATGATTTTGCTCAGTCTTAGATTCATTCCAACTTCTGCTGGCTGTAAGCAAAGATCACAGACTGCCACACACTTTACTGCTCATCTCCAACAGATGGGAAGTTCATTAGAGAAATCCCATGGTGCCTGTATTTAGAGGGCCTATCCCCCTAGGCTTCTATTTGTAAGAAACAATAACCAACATTTTCAATTAAATAAATTTATATTAAGACTACTAGTGACAATATTAATAAATGTGATTTTTTTTTCCAACTACTTCTGCCTATTGGTACTTGTAGGGGAGATTTTCTTTCATTATTTTTTTTTTTTTTTGGTGTCTGAGAAGAAAACCTTTCTGGTGTTAAATTAAAAATACATCTCATCATATTTGTCTTTCTCAGCAAGGATTGTAATAATGAACTACACCATATATTCTTAAATTATTTTATGTATTAGTATCTAGATGACATTATACCCTGTTCCTTGTCTAGGTGTTTTTGCACTGATAGTAAAACATGTGGAAAATGTACTTCATGGGCAGTTAGCTTCCAGAGTAAAAGCTAGGACTAACAAATCAGAACTTGTAAAGCTATTAGCTTGCATAGAGTGGATATTAGCTAACCAGTGGACTCCACTAAACCATGAAAAAACTCTTGTGGCCCTCCCAGTCACTCATAAGTTTGTAAGGTGGATGGGTTGTGATTTATTTTTACATTAAAAAATTATGCATCATCTTCAAAAATAAAAACATCTCAGTAACCTAGGAAAACAAAGACTAGTAAGTGATAATGAGGTATATTATACAAAGTTATTTTATATCTCTCTGGAAGTTTTACTTTCTGTAAATATCTAGGGAATCTTTTTTAACTAAGTCTCTTCTTCAGGAATGAGTCTTTGCTTCAGTCACATTATTATACTGATACAGCCCAAAAGGTTGTGCTTTATTCAAATATCAATTTGCCTCTAGAAGACTATCAAACCAGACATGGTTTTAATTATTTTTTTTTAAAGATTACTCAAGTCTAGTCAGAACATATATGTGTTTTTTAAATGCTACTGCTAAAATCCTGCTCAATAGTAATTAAGGCTTCTGGTTTGAACTCAGTTCTAAGGTTGATGCAATTGTAAAGGATTTCGTATGGATTAAAGTATTCTCCAATAAAATAAGGTATGATTCTCTACTTTTCACAAGCTTGGAAAATATGATGTTATATTCCTTTTTACATGTAAAAATAAGTATTTCATTTTTAAGAATGATAAAATTTTTGAGATATTTTGGCAGATTTCATAAAGTAGCTTTCTTTTCCAAATATTACTCAAAACCTGACAACTATAAAAACATAAGCAAGTGATCCACAGTTTTTCCCCTTCGTCTCACCTTGATTTCAAATTTATTTCCTTCCACATTCAGGAACTTTCATCATAACCCCTCTCACCCTAGGGCATACCTAGTTATTATAAAGATGAAATGTACGGTTGTTTTTAGCACAAGAAAGAATACAAGAAATCTCAGACATTTTCCTGGCAATTATAAAAAACATGTTCTTGCACATTTCTATTTTGCTGACAGAACTGAGTTGTAAGAATTCTGTTTAGCCTTGAATACCTGTTATAGTAAAAAAAAAAGTCCAAAGATGTCAGTTCTGTTCTGTTTCCCTGCTTTTGCTCCTCCTCACCTTGGCCCTTGTAATTCAAAAGTAGAGTATCAAAGAGTCTATTAAAATTTATTACCTTTAGGCAGGCAAAGATACAGTGCATGATGGTGCTTTTCAGTGATTGGCAAACTCTTTTCAGCTAGAGGCATACAATGTTCTTGTTGGAAAAGTTTCACAGTCTATGAAAAAATCCATTTGAAATTATTTTTTACCTGTTCATTTCTCTTCCACATATTTAAGCATTGTTTTAAGGTATTTTCTTCTCAAGTTTTAAAAGACATTTATCACAAAGCTAGATTTTTAATCCAAAAACTTCTTATGGAAAGATAGCAAAATGAATGTGAATAAATAAAATAAAGAAAAATTTTCAAAAAGAAAATAAAAAGAAAAACACATGGTATTTTAGATGTAAAAAGTTGAACACTAAAGATCTTATTTTCTGCAGAGTTCTCATTAAGACAGAAGGATTAGCAGCCAGTAGATGAGTACAATTTTTTCCCAAAATGAATCTAGCTGTCAAGAACAATTAGGGTTAAAGCCAATTTTATTATCTTCCAATTTGAAGGTCATATTTATGAAGAAAAATGCAGTTACAAGCAAATGTTACCACATTGTTGTCATAATAATCTATTTTAAAGGCTAAAATTTTCTATGGCTCAAATATAAAATGGGACTTGAAGCAGTATTCCTACTAGTTGTTTCTTGAAAATATGAATGACTGAAATAGTTACAGGTACCCTTGTAGTCAGCTTTTGTAGTAAAAGCCTAGAATTTTTCTTTCTCTAAAGCAAGAGATACATATACAAATTTCTGTAGGATTATCAACTTCAGTAATGTTTAGACTACAAGAAAATACATTGAAAGAACCAGACTCACCCTCAAAAAACTGAAGTTAGAGCTACTACTGTCCCTTGAAGGTGTAGGAGAAAGTGGTCTGATGCTTGATTTTATATATCAACATAGTAGTTAGAGTTACTTTATAACTATTTTAGAGAAATTGTCATGCCCATGTGATCTACCTGACACTCAAACAAATTACTAAAGTCAATCAAAGGATATTTTCTCCACTGATTATCAAGCAATTCTACTACAAAATAGAGATTCTTAAGGACAGATGAAATTAACTCTATCATACTGTGATACAGTGTTCCATTTTAGTAATATTTGTCATCTAAAAATGGGTTGTCTAAACTATAACTCTAGTTAGTAGCAACCCTTAGTAGAAAACTGAGAGGCACTATCAAAAGATGATTCTGTTTTACAGATGTTTAAAATAGATACAATGGAATTAATTTTTATATTGATAATGAATATCTAAATTAATGGCTTGGACTAAATATTTAATTTTTTAATTACTCTCATACAAAAACAATTTTGGCCTCAGTTTTAAAATTCTGTGGTGATTATATATTCACTTTTGTCTTCACTGAGCAAATATCAGGAGGAGAATCTAACTCTAATGCAGTTAAGTATATCCTAAATTCTTAGGGAGGGTTTCTGGCTGACAACATTGTATAATATAATTCTAGAAATTAAAATACAGTATAATATAATTTTAGAAAGCATATTTTTAATATATGACAAGGAATATCCTATTTAAAATATATACATAAAAATATACATACATCCAGACATTGCTCTTATATTCTCCTCAAATCTTTTTATGACACCTTACCTCACAAATACCTTAGCTTATTCCAAAAGATTAGCTGAACAGAAGTTCCTAATCAACTTTTAGAGGATTGAATTAGGAGCACAATAGATCTGTATGTTTTCTTTTTCCTGTTATGAAGAATATGTTTTGGATAGGATGATAAAGGACATTTCCCTTCCCCCCTCTCCCCCCCCAAGTACTATATTCTATTGAAGATCAGCATGAATTGACACTTCTCCCTGGACATTCAGCTTCCTTTCTATTTCCTCAGGTATGATCCAAAAACTGATACATGGACAATGGTGGCCCCACTCAGTATGCCTAGAGATGCTGTTGGTGTCTGTCTCCTTGGTGACAAATTATATGCAGTAGGTGGCTATGATGGTCAAACATACCTGAACACTATGGAAGCATATGACCCTCAGACTAATGAATGGACACAGGTAATCATAAAGTCTTTTTTTTTTGTTGTTTCATCTGCAAGATATTTTGATAGTTGCACATTAAAACTACTTTTCTGGAAAAAAAAAAAAAAAAAAAAAAAAAAAGTGTAGTATCTGAGGTTACCATAGCTGTAAAACCAGTCCTAGTATTTTATCAGATATTATGTCTGGAGTTTCATCTGAAGACAGAAAAGAGAGAATAAGAGTCTAAGAAACTAGGAAAAGACAGAACAAGCTGTCATTAGAAATATCATCTAATATTATTATCTAACAAGATCTGAATATATTCAGACAAAATTCTTTTTCTATCACTTTCTATAGAATTTTTTTTTCATCTTCATGCAGAAGAAATGTTATAAAGACTATCAAAATAGATGTGGATTTTAATTAATAACCAGCATGTCTTGAAGGTCTGTCATGTGAAAATTTATTTTATGCAGAGAGACAAGTTTTCATTTCATTCTTCAATTCTATTTTCTTCTTTTTGATGGATATTTTGAGATGTTGAACTGTATGTATGTTCCCAATGTTGAACCATATGAGAATGAAGAGGTACAACAGAAATAGGGCTATAGACAAGAAGCTGGGAACTAGTGATTTGGTTATAAGAAGGAATGTATTTTATTGTGTCACAGTAGTGCTTGGAAGGATTTGGATTTGTAACAAAGACAAAAGCAAATAAAAGATTGTTTCAACACCTTCTGCTTTTAATTCTGTTTTAAGACTTTCTGAAAAAGTAATTTGTTCCACCAGTGCAGATGTTTTCTTCGGTGAATTTATCACCCTAAGTTCCCTTTAAAATTAGTGGGGAAAAATATATACTTCAAAAGCATCATCTTATCCTAAAATAAGCATTTAAAACAGGCCAGATATATTATACTCAAAAATGCCTATTTCTTTCTATTGTTGCAAAGGGGGGGGGTTTCTGTTTTCAAACTTAAATATAGACATACAACTGTAAAGTGAATGCAGAAGTCCATCTTTTTATCTACTGCTTATTAGATGACAAGGGAGCATTTTTATGATATTCTGTAGGAAATACAAAATCAGTCTGGGGAGATTCTTTTGCCAAATTCACTAGTCCACATTAAAAAAAAAAAAAAAATTAATAACCACACTTGAACAGAGAGGAAACATGTAACTCCTCTGCTTTGATATGTAGAGTACATAATTGCAGTGGGTTATTGTTCCATACCGGATAATTTGACTCTGCTGTGTTAATTGCAGCAAGATCCACTTGCCTAAAGTTATTAATCCTTGTGTGGTCTTGAGGAGCACCTAAAGCTGCCAAACTTATTCTAAAGGACACCTGAACCTTGAAGAATATTGGAATCATACAATTTTGGTATTAACAGCTTGACCTTGCCCCAGGGACTAAAGCAGAAGTATCAGCTACAGTCTACAGATTACAGAAAGCCCTTGCACATCAACAATTCACAAAATTAATGACAACTCTAAAATAACTTCTTTTTTCTATTCTCACACTTTTAAGTGAAAGTTGCCAGATGTAACTTTAAAACTACAATACTAGGATATTGTGAATTAAATTTCTTTTTAGTGGTTTATTTTAGTTTTGGCTATTTTAGAACAACACAGCACTTTGGCAATCTCTTGTGTGGCTTTTTCCTGTTCTGTTAATTTGTGTCTTTTTTTCTGCAGATGGCTTCCCTAAATATTGGAAGAGCTGGTGCCTGTGTTGTAGTCATCAAACAACCATGACTTTTTCAGCATTATTTAGGATTTTACTGACTGTGAAATGATTATTTTTCTATCAGATGAGAATAACTTCATGATTTACACAGTGATACTCTGTTGATCACAAACTTGAAGAAGTTTGGAATTGAGAAAGATTAAGTATTTATGCTCTATAAAATCATGAAAACTGTTCACAGGCAGTGAACAATTGAAAAAATCAGGCTGTTGCGGGCATAAGCATGTGAACATGGAACAGCAAGTTCAGGTACTGTTCTCATGGACGCATCTTAGAGAACTGGATACTCAAGGGACAGCTCTGCACAAGGAGCAGGAGGGAATACAAAGACAGTTTTCATGGCCACAAGAGTTTTAACTGCAGAAACATTAAAGTATATTTAATCAGTTTTAAACTGTGGGTTTTTTAAAAGAGAAAAGTAGATATTAATATGACTTTTTCCTGTTCAGGTCTTCTCTTTTTTCTCAGTTATGCATCTTGTAAGTGAGTCTACTGAAGGGGAAGCCTGTGTGTTTAATCTAATTATACACAAAACAATCCTTTGCCTGCACTGTGGCTTTGGTACAAATATGGGAGTCAAAAGAACAGTATCCTAAATGCTTTCTTAATCTTACGTTCAATTTAAGCATGTAGGTTCTGATCTCATTGTTCTCATCTTCTGCATGTTGGAAGTTCATGAAAAGCTGGAAAATTGTTACTGTTGCTTCACTGCATCACGTAACAGATGATCCATGGCCTGAGCAGTCTATGGAGCCTTTTCTGTCATTTCAAGAGTGATAAAAATACTGCATTTTATTTCTTTCTGATGCTCATACATACACAACTTTACCTAATTGGAGATTCCAATTTATGACTTTCCACTTATGACTGAGAATAACTGCAAGTAGAGAATTCAGAATCAATGCAAGCAGATTAAGTAAAATTTGGCCATTTGATCTAATAAAGTACATATGGCAAATATAGTAGTGTCATCTGTGCTTCCCTTTAGGGTTGATCATTTGTGGCAGTAATGATACTTTGAGCGTTTGCCTTGACAGTAGATTTGACGTTGATGTTTTCTATCTGCTGTTTTCTAAATCATTTAGAATCGTAAGGGCTCTAATAGAATATGAAATTCTGCTATTCAGAGAGGCACAGGCTCTGACAACAGGACCACCAAGGACAACTCTTCTTTGAAGCCTTGCTGATCCTTTAGCAAACATTCCATGGTCCAAAAGCAGAAACCTCAAAATCTGTCAGTAGTAATTTTGAGAAGGAATTCTGCTTGTAGTTAAAAGAGTTTCCTTAGTGGAAACCTTGGAAATTGTTTGCAATAAAAAAAATACATACAGCCTCCTACTTGGGACATCTGATTTGAAGATCTGTCTTTCCTTCTGACAGCATCAGTATATATGAACATTTTTGTTTCGTGATGCAAACTGAACTTTGGTTCTGAAACCTAAGTATACTGGTTTAGCTCTTTTAAATGCTTCTCTGTCTATTTAGAAATCACCTGCAAAACCTTCAGTATTAGTTTTCCATGGTTAGTTGGCAATCATGGTTAATTGCAATCACTCTTCCACAGACAAGCAGGTCCATTTTCCTCAGTTATAACAACTTGTTGTTTCACATAAATATAAGCTTCTGAGACCAAACCAAAATTTTTATAGAATTATAATTGCAATTATAGAGAGACATTAGCATTCAATTCTCCTACACAGATTCCTAATGAACTTATAAATAGAATTTTAATTCTATTCCCACAACTTTTTTTGATTCCTTTATATACATTCACAATAGAAATAGGGTTACCTATACTGACCTTCAAGAAAGGATTACTTCTATTAATTGCAATCCAAGGCAGATTTTTTTTCTGTGCCTTGATCATTTTTATCCTCAATTTATCCTCAATTTTATTTTTTATTCTCAATTTCCTTCTACACATTTACAATTTGCCTTTATTTATTGAAAATGGAACATTATGTGCAATTTTAAAGACTACTCACTTCTTTTATGCTGAAAGAATAAATTTATTCTTTTATTTACATTATGTAAAACCAAGCTGCAATAGGAGCCAAATTTGGCTTTCGGTTTCTTTTTATACAGCTGCATCAGTGTGCTCTGGAGCTTCTTCTGAACAGAATTCAAGGAGAGTTTTTTGTATTAAATTTTAAGGTTTTTTTTTACCATTGTATTTTCTCTTAGTAACAATAATAGTTTTACCTTTTACTTCAAAGGGAATAGATTTAAATCAAAATGGTATATAATCTTAATTATAGTTTCTGTGATCCACTAAGATTCCTTTTTTATGTGTAAGAGTTAAAAATGACTTCTGATAGGCTGAGTTATGCTAAACAATAGTGCATATACAGGAAAAGCAGATGATTTTTTAAGAGATAGATTATCTTATCATTTTTACTCTAGCATGGTACCTTTTCTCTCAAATAATCCCTTTGATTTCACAGTATGGAAATTGGAGTGAAATCAGTTCTGCAACAAATATTAATTTCTGTGAAATCAGTAATTAAGTTCCTCAAAACACTACTTGTAAATTTTAAGTTTTCATATTCTAAGTATGTTCTATAAATATATATATTTTTTCTTATTGCTGCACATCCTTATAGATGAACATCTTTTGTGTTAATCAAACATAAGTAGAAATAATTAAAATTAAGATCCTCTAGGGTAATTGAGATTAAGGTCCTGTCAGACTCCTCAGAAGCCTTACATTTCTGTGTCTTATGCATCAAAACATATTATTTTTGTTTGTAAATAAAATCACGAGTTTTTTTTGTTAGAGATATTATTAGTATCCTTCTTGCTGCTACTCGTTTTGAGATAGAAGGAAAGTCAAGATCATGAGTGCTAGAAGAGCTGTTTTTAAATGGATGAGTCTATATAGATTTTTATATGAAGACAAACAAAACAGTACTGGCAGACAACAATTACTCTTGAGCCTGAGGTTTTACATTCAAAAGCTTGGACGGGCATGAAATCAAATCTATGCTCTTCAATTTCCCTACCTAACTCTTTTCAGATCTGTTGGGACATTATAGATCAGTGACAGTCAATTGTGATGCAAGAATTTGTTTTTCTCTTTTTCCTTTCACTGATTATTTCTCTACTAAAGATAAAACACTTACTGTTCAAAACCAAAGCAAAGCCAAACAAAACAAAACCCAAAAAAAGCACTCAAGACAAGAGTTAGCTCTGAAGCGATTACAGAAGCAATAGCTAAAGCAGAATAAGTGGATTCTCCAGAAGAGGGAATAAATTCATCAGTGCTATAGCTGCGGCAGTGCTGTTGATGTTTATTAATACAATTATTGAAGTAATCATAGAAGAAATTCCACTTTAGCAGGGCTTTGATTGGTTGTATAAGTAAACAAAATCAAGAAAAATACCGTAACCATCTCTGTTTTTCAAATGGAATTAGTCTTCCTTATTTAATTCCTCTCAAAATGCTAGATAGTTGAACTCCAATAATAATTTTATAGACAATGTTAGAGATTTTATAAACATGGAATAATTAAAATTGAGCTCAACAGAAAAAATGACCAAGTGAAATAGGTACATCTTTTCCTATGACTCTGAGGCTACCAATTTGACTTGGTTTCTAGTAGCATAGTAGTGTTAAAATATCCATTTTACAAAAGAAATTGTAATTGTTGAGGAATTATGGATTACCTTGCAGTTTTGGACCTTTCTTTTAAGTTATTATTTACAATCGCAGTTTTATCCTTGACAGTGAGGGGTACTAGAAACATAATCAGTATTAGTAAAGATCTACATAGAAAAAATTCATTTAATAGTCATCATATAGTAAAAATCTCTATTAGTGACATTTTGTGATTCAGTTTTATAAAAAATTTTTGCATTGAAATCAAAGCCACTAATAGGGCAATAAAAAGATCTTAAGAATATTGTTACTTGGGCTTTAATTATAATTGTTCAATACTTATTTGTATATGTGTTCACATATTTGTAATGTGTTCTTGCAATCAAAATACTTTTTTCTTTTTTTAAGCATAAGTAAATTTTACAAAATCCTTTTGCGTACAGAACATACTTTTAATCTTAGGAAACTGGTGAAATTATTAAGGCAATTTAGGGATGCATTCATGAAGTTGCCTGTCTTGGCCTATTACATTGTTAAGTTAATATTAATTGACTTAAGGGAACCATTTCGGCTTAGATATAGGTTGATTTCCTTGAGTGTCATTCTCTTCTACAGAAAACAGTCATCAATTGACCATTATTTTAAAAGTACTCATGTTAAAATCTGTCTAGAAAGCTCTAAGTATTATTCAGACTATTTTGTATGTTTAAAAGGCCCCCAAAAATTCCCTTGAATATATTTGTCAATGACTTAAACACTTTTCAATTAATTCAATAAAAATAATTCAGAGATTAGTTTGAAGTTATGCTAAGTTTTAATGGCTCAGATCTTGATGCCCTTGAGTAAACACCAGAAACACCATGCATTGTGATTATAAACAAAATACTGGTTTTCCAAAGCAGGATTCACAGTCTTTCAGTATTACTGTGCTCATAAAGGACTGGGCATAACAAAATGTATCCTGTTACCTATGACTTTGCCTTGGTTATTTCATGAGGAGTAGAGAAGACATTTCTGCAAATGGTAAAAAAAAGCTCTTATAACTGCATCAAATAGCAGCAATAAATTACAAAACTAATTCTACAACATTTTGGGAAACTTAGACATTTGTCTATGTGCATGTATAGAATCTGATGGTACAAACCCTCCTACTTGTGTAGGGAGGTTGGACCAGCTGACCTCTAGAGCTCCCTTCCAGCCTAAAACAGTCTATAATTCTAAACCCAAGTATAAAACTGTTCACCTAGTTCAAATTCAGGGCCTGGAGCAGGACAAGGTGCACTTTTTTCTGCTATTAGCAGCTCCATACAAACACCTGTGTTTCATTTCATATGCTCTCAATCCAACTGCACATTTGCACAACTGCTTCCTCACCTTTCTCCCCTCCGTACCCCCAGTTCCTGATTGTAT